CCACAGGAGAGCAATAAGCTTGGTGAGCCGGGCAGGGGGCAGATAATCGCCAGGGCGATTCAGGGCTCGCAGTCCAAGGGGACGGTGGAGCAGCTTCTGCCTATTTGCTGCCGCAGCTCTTCCTTTGGATAGGCCCCCGGGTGTTTGCCTATGGTCCCCTACAAATACGATAAGAGCCGGCTGTTGGATGGCAGCAAGTGCAGCGATTTCGTGATAGTTGCCGTACTGCTGGCTTTCATCCATAAACGCTAGCCACGCCCTGGAAAGCCATAGGCTGAATGATGAATATTTCATGGCCATTTCCGCAGTAGCTGATCCTCCAGTCGCAATCAGAATACGCTTCTCAGCAATGACTCTGTTGCGATCGCTGCATCGCACATCAATTTTCGTTGCATACGCTTCGCCCTTTCCTTCCTCGATACGACCCAGCAGTCGTCCAAAGGTTGATTGCGTTGGTGGGGAAAGGTCGCTGATCTGGTCAGCAAGGGCTTTCGCAGCGACATTTTCCTTGGTGTAGACGACAGCATAGAAATCATCCAGTTCACAGCTGAGAGCGATCAACAGAACTGCTAGAGAGCGAGTTTTTCCAGCGCCAAAGACGCCTGCTATACATAGGTCAGAGCGGCCAGTGAGGATCCCCAGGAGCAAAGCTACTGCCACTGTGAGGACATGTCCATCTCCATGCCCCGCTAGAGCGGTCCCGCATGTAACCGTCATGTGCTCCCGGCAGAGTAACCCCTATGGGTGTAAGGAAGCGGCGTAGCACTCTGACCAAAGCATCAGTCAGTTTTGTCCTGCGTTCACTCGTCATTCTGCGCACGGGAATATCGGGCTGGAGAATGCCCATCGTCAATGGGAGCCGTGCCGGGTTGGCCTGCGCAAACACGAGCAGCTCACATCGACTTCAAGTATCGCCAAGGAATGCAAGTTCTTCCAATAGTATAGAGAAGGTTGCGTGGAGCTCGATTGGCTGCGGCCAATCTTGTGCAGGGTCAAAGTAGTCCACCCCTGCTGGCTGCTGCAACAGCAGTCGTCCACAAAAGGCAAAGGCGACAGGCCTGGAAACTACGACTAGCTCAAGTGACTTCGGTGCAATGCGTCGGTACGCACGATAGTCAGCAGCTCTACTGGTGCCATGCATCACTTTTTCTTGGACTAGGAAAATAGCACAGCGGCGCAGGCCATCAGGTAGCTGGAAACGACCAAACAGTGCCCTGCCTGCCATCACATTCGATTCCATGCTCCCTAGATTGCCAGTTGCGCATAGATTCCACGGTGACACGTGGGGGACAGCAGTCGGATCGCTGAAGAGCAAGATAGGAGCGCCTTCTGTGAGCAACTGGATGACATGAAAGCCAGCCTAGGCTTCATACACATATTTAACCGCAAGCTCTACGCCTTGTTGGCCTCGTGCTTGCTGTTGCGCCAGCTCAACACTGATCCATGGTTGTAGGTGCTGCAGCTGACGGCCGGCATGATAGGCGTCAAGTTGTGGCAACACCATATCTAGCAGGAATATTAGGGCGCGAAGAGAAAATCCACGAAGGAATTCGGCAAGCAGGTTCCTCATGAGGTGTCCCCCTTCAGCATGAGCCTGTCCAGGGATGGGGATCATGTCAATCAGCACCTGGCGCAGATCCTGTTCAGTAACGAGGGGATCATCCCTTACATCTCTACCTTCACATGGTACTGTATGCAGGTCGGAGCATCCATCACCAGCAGCCTGGAGTAGCGCACTCAAGGTGCGTTTGCAATGATCTGGGAGATCGAAACTAACCCATGAGAGCACTCGCAAAAGCCCTTCACATCGTATCCCATGCGGGATGACCTCAGGGGTCGTGATTTGGAGATAATCTATATGATAGGTGCCTTCTTCAATTGGGGTAAATAAAAGGTGTCCATATGCATGCCTGGCCCGGCCACTCCACGATGGATGCCCGTCTATGAGGACAATGTTATAGCTCAGGTCTGTGAGGGTGTCTGGACGCCACACGCAGAGTCGGTCCTCGAGACAATGAAGGAGTACCACCCTTCGTTCCCCAGTTGCAAGACGCAACATTTCAGGCGGAGAGGCAATTGCTGCTACCTTGGTGGTACCCGGGAAGCAATCAAATTCATTGAGCACTTCATGGATTGCGAGTCCAGTATACGATCCCGCAGAGAAACCGAGGACGTCAACATCCCTAATCCCTTCTGGAACGGGTACCGTCACATACTGTGGAAAACAGGCTCGCAGAAACAACAGTTTGCCCTGAGGGTGATAGCACCGGAAGATCTGACGAACTGCAGTGACCCACGTGGGATGTGGTGGTCTTGCATGCGCTGGCCGGATCGTAGCAGCAGTCAACAACCGTATGGCTCGGGTGATCAAAAGCTCGTGATGGGCAAATAATCTGTCCGGAAGGAACGCCTTCCACGCACTCCATCCCAGTGCAGTGGAGAACAACTGGTATATTGCGTACTCATGTGTGGTTTTAGTCAACCCTAGCTGAGTGATGCGCTGCTCCCAGTCATCTGTCATTGCAAGTGAGGGGCCATAGACTTTCATTTGTGCATGATTCTGAAAGAAAATATCGTACTCATGCTCAGGGCTTAGCAGCCCTCCACCCAATCCACTACAATGCACTGTGAGGGGTCGATCCGGCATGGGAGAATCCTCTTGCCAGACATTTCCCACCGAGAAGACCCATTGCGCCCACTTCTGCGGCCGGTCAATCAAAACCTGCGAAGTTCTTGCGGCGGCTCCCGTGTAGATTCGCTGGGCACGCTGAGCTAAATCAAAGACCTCCCCTTTAATTTCTGCTTGCCAGTCCTCTGGTGTGCGGAATACTGCTGGGAGACCGAAAGTGAGCTCCGCTGCCTTCCCATGGTAGCTCTTCGCTCCCACAGACCAAGCAATGCCACGGTCTGCTGATAGGAGAGCGGGGACGGTGGGATTTTCGCATGAACCCGTAAGCCAATGACAGGGAGAAAATTGTGGTGTAGCCATTGCGGCTGCCAATCTACTGTGCCAAATAGAGCTGCCGCAAGCGGTAGCCACCCAAATTGCGCCAACTCCGCAAGTCGCGATGGTAGACGTTGCTTGGCACTCGTTCCAAACCCATGCAAAATAGCAGGCCTCATAAAGCCTTGTTCAATTTCCATGGCCTGGTAGATTTTGTCTCCTGGTAATACTTTTATCACGACCTCACCTGGGAGGAGGCTGAGTGTTGGCAGGGCCCCTTGCTCATATGCAGGACGGGCCCACTTATGAAAGTTGGGTTGTCTGCCTTGGAAGCCATCAAGGATTCCTCGCAAGTGTCCATGCCGAGGCCAAACACCCGTCTCGGGGACCGGAAAGGTGACCCACCCTGACCATTGTCCCAGCAGGCTCCAGGCATGACACCAGTCAGCTGCAAATCGAGTGGTGGTGCCTAGCAGTGGCGATCCAAGCAAACCACTAGAAACGGCAGTTTCAGTGTCACAAGGTGGCTGGGTGGTTGAGAGGTAACCTTCGACATGGTCAAGGTAGGCTTTGCTGGCAATAGTAGCGAGTTCATCTGGGTCTCGCTCAGGATCAGCGAGTTCCGTTTCCAGGAGTGGGCTGCGATGGCCAGACGCCAACACAATGACTAATCCAGCATTAATTTCCGTGAAAGCTTCACTGACTAGGATGACACCCTTGCTGGCCGCAGGTTGCGGTGCTCGAAGGGTCACCCTCTTGTCCGCTGAACCAGAGCGCGAATGGGCAGTGGGAGAGGAGTTGCCGCTTTTCACTTCCTCTCGCTCAGTTGGGTGGGGACTCGGCGGTTCTGACCCACCAAAGTCGACCTCATCCTCAAAATTGCCCGTAGCATCTGGAGACGGTGCCCGCATGTCAATGGCCGCAAAGTTCTCAACACTATGCGACTTTGACAGCTTGATAGGAGGGCCAGGTTGTTGTTGCGTGGCTTTCCCCGTATCAACAGATCGTGCTCTCTTGTGCGCAGGCGCAATCGGACTGCTCGGCATCAGCTCAGGTTGTAGGCACCCTTCAGCAGGCGAATCATGCCCTGCGCACGACAGCCACAACTCCTGAACTTCGAAGAGCGTCACAGGCACACAATCGCTATCAATGAGAGCAAAGTTGATGGTCGGGAAGAGAAAGACACATGCATCAAGTATGTAGGTGCCAGCCCAAGTAGGGTGCACCTTGTCCAGGCCTGTGTCTGCCGATATGGGCACGAATACAACTGTGGTGTGCTCACCATAAGGGCCCACGTATCGGATTTTATTTCCAAATGGAACGCTTGTTCCAGTTTTTGTCAATTAAAATTTGACGCGCTTAGATTCTTCAATTTAATAAAAATAAAAATGATCGAAAACACGCAGCTCACTGTCGGGCTTGATTTAAAATTCCTTTTTCCGCATTGGGGTAATATTCACGAGTAAGACACCCGCGTAAACGCGGTCCATTGGACCAAAACTGGAAGGAACCCACCGCCCACCGCTTGAGGTGTAAAATGAGGAATGAGATGAAATGAAAACTGAACACTTCTGAGAAACAACCAAACAGACAGTTTGGAAAAAAGAAACTGACAAATAACTGTAACACGCTTTCACCAAAAAGTTCCAGTTAAAATTGGCAACTTTTGGTTTTTCCATTTTTGAAATAAGGTGCTTATCACTTCGTGAGTAAACACTTATTTCCAAATGGAACGCTTGTTCCAGTTTTTGTCAATTAAAATTTGACGCGCTTAGATTCTTCAATTTAATAAAAATAAAAATGATCGAAAACACGCAGCTCACTGTCGGGCTTGATTTAAAATTCCTTTTTCCGCATTGGGGTAATATTCACGAGTAAGACACCCGCTAGCCACCCCACTTCAAAGTGTCTGCTCCTTCTTCTCGATTTGAAGCAAGACATGATCCCAGCTTGGCTTAACCAAAGCGGAACCAACGCCCAACAGTTGCTGGATTTCGAAACGACCGGGTTTGTCAGCAAGGTTTGAATACGAAGGCGCTCTTCCAAACCACAACCTTTAAACAGTGTTCAGGTTCAAGCCGTGTAAAACGAGTGGTGAGAACATTGCCAAACAAAAGCGCTGAAGTGGGTTTTCATCAAAGCGCTCCTTGCGGCCTTGTTGTCTATGTAAAACACCACGTAGGAATTAGCAATGGCCGGGGCCCATACATGTGCAGCAACCAGCACTGCCAGAAGTTCAACCTCGAAAATAGGGTGGCTGGAATGCTGGAGGAACAGGTCCAAAATCAGCTGTGGGACCCGCTTGCTGAAGAAGGCTTCGGCCTCGCCATCGCTGTTGTATAAGATGCCCCCAACTGAGGCCACGATTTGCGACCCCTCTGCCGTGGATTCGACCGCACCGTCGGTGAAAATGTAGTAGGCTTTTCCGGCTGACTTGGTCAACTCCACTGGCTTTGAAACGGAAACAGGCTCTTTGGGAAACTGCAAGGGTAGATAGAGCTGCGTGGCCAAGCTACCATCCAAAGAGCAAGGGGTGGCCCTCTTGCTGATCACACTCACCTGAGCTTTGCATTGGGTCACCATCGAAAAGGTGGACAGAGTAGGGAAGTAGTCGAAGAAATTCGACCACCAAAATCCCAGGCATACCTGTCTAACGCAGGCCAAGGTCGCCGATGTGCGAAGGAAGCCAGCAACGCTTCTCACAGCTCCGAAGGGGAGTGCACCGATCTTGTACACTTTGGCCACGCCTTGTTCTACATCCTTCACACAAATGTGGACTCTTTCACGGTCTTTGGGGTGGATTGCACATTGCTTGTAAGCCGCCACCAAATAAAGAATGGTGCCACCCAAAGTTCCGCCCTGAGGCAACCCCACTGATAACGCTCGGACCAAAGTGGCCGCAATGGCTTCAATGGAGGGCAGCACGTATTTTCCTGGGAGGCCTGTTGAACCATTGACTCCACATTGCTTGAAGTCATCGTCGACTCGTACCTTCGATTTCTGCATCAGGCCAAAACGCCTGGCAACCATGAGCTGGTCCAGGTCTGGATTTTTGTCCTCGACCAACCACCCTTCCACCATTTCTTTGATTGTGCCTTCCCAGGCGCCAACTGGTGCGTCACTAGCTTCTTCAGGGTTAACCGATTCGAAGATGCTCCTGCAGAGGCCCTTCAAAAAACGCAGGAGCGCATCCACAGAGTACTGGGGTGGTTTCGATCTATGAGGAAAAAATATTGAGTCACGCAACCAGCCTACGATGAGGAAAACCGCCCAAATATCTTTGGCCAGGTGTCGATCAGGAAAACCAATGTCATTCAGGATCTCCTCAATCACCAGAAACCTCTTGCCCTTTTGGGCCCTTGCTACTTCTGGGTCCAAAGAGTGGTGCAAGTCTTTCTCCTTGCTGGCCAACTCACTTGCTCTTTTGAGCCAATTCCGGATAAAGGCGTTCTCCATAACATAAGGGTCACGCGCTGGCCAATCTTCTGCAAACAAGTTCCTTTGGTGGTCTGCAGCTACTGCACGAACTACAAAATCTTCTGGTTCCCTTGGAATCCCTATTGAGCGAATCTCACCCACCTTTTCAAGTGCCTCGAAATCGCCAGCGAAACCATTTATGCAAATGCAGTTTCTCTTCTGAGAGCTGCACTCATCCTTCAACACACTATCGCAAACCCGAAAGTCACCCCCATGCATGAGTTTGCGGTTCACTGTCCACGCCTCCTTGGGGAAAGTTCCCAAAAGTTTGTCCAATTTTTCAGCAGGAGTTTGGTGAAAATGCATTGCTGCAGCACTTGATCCACAAGGTTTGCCAATCGATCAAGAATTCTTAAATTGAAACCAAAATGCCATGCAAAACACGGAAGTTAACAATGACAGCGGTGGCGCAATATAGCGCATTTGCTTTTTTCACTTTCAGCAAGTTGAGTCCAGTGAGCCCCGGAAATCCGTCAGGAAATTCTTTTGAACGAAGGGGCCCAGGCTGCAATCTGTTGAGGGCAACCTGGAACGGGAAATCCTCTGGCTGCTGAAGCTGTGCCGCAGGGCGGCACCAAGTGAATATACACTATCACATTGAGTTCAGCTTTCAAGAAGTCCCGCAAAAAGTGTAAATCCTCATCTTTCGTGAGGTCCAAAAAGGTGATAAGACCTGTGGACCTTCTGGTGGGGTGGTCCACAGATGAAACTCGAAAACCTCGTTTGACAAGAGCTCGGCTTAACCGTGCTGTCCCTGCAAAAATTTCGACGGATAGCAAGTCTTTCCATTCTGTGCCTCTTTCGAGGTTTGGAAAAGGCTCCGCACTGTGCTCTGCTGTTTCGTGCGAGCCCTCATCCTGTGGGCGAGGGCTTTCTAACTGCTCTTGTTGAATTTGCTCATCACCTAGTCAGTTTCCTCCCCGTTGGCGGCACGACAGAAAGGTGTGTCCGCCTTTCCTGCAAAATGCACAGATGGGGATTCCTTTCGAACATCTCACAGGGTTTCCATAGGTCTTTGCTGAACATCCATCTTTCATGTTGAAGGCCCAACAAATTGGTTTGTTGTCACTTGTCTTTGAATGACCGCCCTTCAACTCATCCGGCATCTTTACCTCCGTTGTTGCTCGAGCCCTTTTGCCCGGTCTAATTTTTGCCTTTGGTTTGCCAGCGTCTGGTTTGCTAGCGTTGGAGGCCTCCACCGAGTGCGCCTTTGTAGGCAATGGCAGCACGTGCATGGTCACCCTTGGGTCCGTCTTCAACTTTGTACTTTGGTCATCCAGCGGTCGGTTTCCCACACCATCGGGCTGGATGGATTCCACTTCCCTTGCTAGAATCGTAAACAACTCCTTGTCGCCTCGCAACAATTGAGGCATGGTCACCTTCGCAAATGAAGGCGGTGGCTCTGCCGAGTAAGCCTGAAACATGGCTGATACCCAACTCTCATGCTTGTCCCAAGAAATCAGAGCTGCCTGGTCAAATGCCAATCCACGTCGCTGAAAACACCACATAAGTTTCAATTCCGTTCCATGGTCAGCTTCAAAGGTCTCAGTGTCCGCGGCCATTTTCAGTGTCATGTTCTCAATCTTCAGCACTTGAGATTTTTCCTTCAAAGTTTGCTGTACCTCTTGTTCCCGTTTTGTGCATTGTGAAGGGTGGATCCATAGAAGCGACCCTGTCTCCCTCATGCTGGCGCACTTGTCCACCAAAGCATAACTGGGTTCCATTTCACCTGACAACGCAATGCCCTTGCCTGTTTTTTCGGCTGGAGGCAACTTTCGAATCCCATCGGTCAAATCTCCCGCCACATTGCTTTTCAAGGTCGCGAAAACTATTGTGCAAGCTTCGAAGTGCAACCTCCTCAACTGGGACAGTTGGCCCAGTGTAGGTGGAACCCCAAAAACTCCTGCAGCAAAAGCTCCAAAGGCTGCATCATCTGGTTGGGACTGTGGCGTCCCACATGCAAAGGCCAAACCGCTGAATGTCTTCAAACCTGAATTGTCCAGCGTCTGAAAAAGAACTTCGTCACCGATTTCTATGACCCTCTTTTTGAAGGCCGCTTCTGAATCAAGTAATGACATGGCTTGCGATGGTTCCTACTCCTACTACAACACAAGTTCAAAATGCCTGACATGTGATAGTGAGGTTTTCGACAAGCATGGCTGTCAGTTTTTGAATTGACAACACTTGTGATGAGTCAGTGTGGGAAGAAGAGCCTTCACCCAACACGGCAAAAAACCACTGGAGAAACCACGTGGTAACTGCATGTACTGCCACTGGAAATGGCCACGTTGCTTGAACCCAGTGTGGGACATAGAAATTACCCAACACGGACAGCTCACTGGTTGCACCAAGAGGCTCAGCAACTGGATGAATGAAATTGCACCATACTGATTGCAGAGAACGGTTTGCGGAAACAAATTCATGCATGCTCAAAAATTGAAATGACTTGGCAAAAAATCGGAAAATGACTGCCGCGGAAATTCTGAAAACTTTTATCCACTCCTGGCCAAACCTGCCGTTTGTTTCAGGCAGTTTGAACAAACTGAGGAGTCCCACCTGGTCTGAAAATCCCTGGTGTACGCATCGGTCACTTTGCGACCACATTCAAGGATTCTTTCACGGTGATCCTGAATTATGTGTAAAGTCTTTGGCTTACTGTGCTGCAAAAAATGGCAACCCTCAGGTGGCATCGGAGGCATAAACAAACGAGGTGGTGCAGGCGGTTCACTTGACTGTTCACTTTCATCGGAGGATGAATCAGTGGTCACATGTTCTGACTGGGCATCAGAAGATTGGCGTTCAGACGCACTTGATGCCACTGATATGCATTCCCAGCCTGCCTCGTCTGACTGCTGTTTCACCTGCTCTAGCTCACCTGACAGGTTGGCGGGCTGTGCACATGGAGAAAGGTTTGCTGCGGCAACCAATGAACTGTCCTTCACAAGTCTGCCAGCTCTTGACTCATCTGGAAAAAACCTTTTGTTCCTGATCTCGTCCAAAAGCTCTTCCATCATGCGCATGGGCCTAGCTTCTGCATCTCGAGCATACACATCAGCCATGCGTCCCTGATGAGCATGGTGTCCTAACACCAAACGCTCTTCATGTGGGAGTCCACGCTTTGCTGCATAGCTAAGGATGGTAAACGCGGTCCATTGGACCAAAACTGGAAGGAACCCACCGCCCACCGCTTGAGGTGTAAAATGAGGAATGAGATGAAATGAAAACTGAACACTTCTGAGAAACAACCAAACAGACAGTTTGGAAAAAAGAAACTGACAAATAACTGTAACACGCTTTCACCAAAAAGTTCCAGTTAAAATTGGCAACTTTTGGTTTTTCCATTTTTGAAATAAGGTGCTTATCACTTCGTGAGTAAACACCTCTCTTTCCACCATGCAGCAACCATGGGCCAGTGGCTTAATCTTGGAGTACTGGCAACCGCGTCCGCTAGTAGGTCTCGATTATCAGTGATGAGGTAGACAGTCTGAAATGCCAGGAACTCAGCGGCTTGGCTGACGACCCAGCGAAAGAGGCTGTGCCAATTGGGTCCCGGTGCAACCTCAACGCCATTCACTACCTTGATCTCATAATCGTGCCTATCAGGTTCGCCAGATTTCTTGTGAGGGTCTCCAAATCGCCATTGGTGATGGACGGTCTGGTTCAGTGGAGATATCTTTATACAGACCCAGTGCTTCCAGAAGGTCATCAAACTGTGCTTTGGGGTCAGGTTCGAACCAGGTTTGCTCTGCTTGCTGGGGGGATCCCTGGTTTCCGCATGGAGCTTTGTTGCTTCTCTCACCCACCAACATGGCCCTTTGGAGTGTTTTGTGGTTCTTCTGTTTTGTTTCTTGTTTTGGGCCATTCTCATAATGACACATAAGATGTCATCATGCATGTAATTCCCATTGCTGGTGGCGATCCCACTTCTCTGTGTCGTTTTTGTTTGGTTTTTGTTGTGGTTTTGTGTTTTTTGCCTGTGTTTGCTTTGTTGTTTTTGGTTTGCTTTCGTGTCTGTTTTCTTGCTGGGACAGCTTCTGGACTGCGTACTGGTCCACTACCGGCACTTTTGTGGCTTTCGACAAATTGACAGCCCTGCATGTACATTACAATTCAACTGTTTGCCGCGATTGAATGTGTGTAACGACCTGGCGGAAGCCATGAAGGCGTCGGACGGAAAAAAATCTGCTTGCTGTCTAGTAAGAAGTTCCATGGACCAGTATTGGAAAGTAACAGCCCCTGAACCAGTCTGCGGCCAGAGACAGTGCCGGGTTGGATGGATAGTGGGGAACCAGCGGAGTGGTACCCCTGACCAGTCTATCTTCAGCGTCGAAGAGAATTTCTGGTGCTCATGCAGGACATCCTCGTGAGTAGGGTCCTGTAGGTTGGCATAGTGCTCCGAAGAAGTGCTAGATCCTTTTTTCGGTACGGGGCAGTAGCAACAGAGCTTTCTTTGCTTCACTGACTTCATAGCTTGCTGAGATCGTGCAACTATCCAAAATGCAACTAAGTTGATGTACTTGGCGCGTTGCAGTCTCAATTTCTTCACCTGTAACTTGGCACAATGTCAGCCGGGCAATTGATTTGGCCATGCGATGCAGCGCAGCTTGTTCCATTTCGGATATGTCGGCAAGGCTGTGTCAATTAGACAGCTGTAGCACCAGATGGTGACAGGCAGTAGGCTGTTCTGAGCTCTGGTGGGTGGTGTGTCCTCTTCTTTCCGTGTCTTTGGTCCCTGCTCCTTCGCTTCTCTTGTTTGTTTCGGTTCTGTCTTTGTTCTGCCTTTTCTCTCCCCCTTCTCCCTGCTCTCTTCCGGCTCTTCGTTCCCGCTCGGGTGTTGTGTCTGGTCGTCTTTCTGGCCGTAGACTGGTCCATGATTTCCAGCGCCATCCTCACCTCCCCCCTTTTCTTTTGCTGCGTTGTTCTCCTTCTGCTCTACTACTTTCCATTTGCCACATGGCAGTGTCATTGCTGGCCTTTGGATCAAGTCCAAGTATCTGTGAGAATGTTGCCCGTGCGGCTTGCACTCTGTCATCTCGAGGCTCCTGGCTGGGGGGAGCCTTGGTTTCCGCATTGTGCCTTTGTTGCTTCATGGCTCACAGATTACTGTATGGCAATTTTGTGGTTTTGTTGTTCCGCTCTTGTTTTCCTTTGCAATACCAATCCCTGAGGTGATACAATGTTATCATCTCTTCTAGTACGGTTCAGATGCCCGTGAACTGATCAGCTGATCACCGGCCGTGCTGTTTTTTGGTGTGTTTTTTGGGTGTTTCTGTTTGTCTTGGTTGGTCTTGGGTTTTTGTTGTTTTTGCTTTTCTTTCTTGCACGGTGACAGCTCAACGGATTATGTATCGATCCTTTTCAGTTCCCTTTTGCATGCACATTGTCATCTGATGTTGCCACTCTTACTGGCGGTTAAGCGGGAATAAGGGAATACAAAAACTATGCCCCATGGCAAGTTCCAAGTGCTTGATGATGTGGTTCAATGTTTACACCAGTGTCTCCGGTTAAAAATATCCATTTGTGATGATGAGTTGGTTGGAGAATGGAATTGTACTATTACAATTATGACATGATCAAAATAAAAAATGAAAGGCCAGTTGCCTCAGTTAAATAAGGTCTAGACCAAATGTATTTAAATATGGGCTAATTAATAATATTAATAGATCAATTGTATCACATTATTGCCCTTAAAATTAATGGATCATGTTGCATTGCCCCATGCTGAAGAAGCATCATCACATGCATTGCCCCATGCTGCAGAAGCATAACATGCATTTTCCCATGCTGAAGAAGCATCATCACATGCATTGCCCCATGCTGCAGAAGCATAACATGCATTTTCCCATGCTGAAGAAGCATCACATGCACTGAAAATTGCCCAAATCAGATGCCAGTGAAGCATCCATGCTAAAGAAACAACCATTCTTGGAAACATCCATGCTGTTTTTTTTGGAATCTTTAATGATATTTTGGCCAGGATCAAGATTCATGGAAATTCGAACAGCCAAGATCAGTGTGCTAAGGTGGCACTGACGCATCTGTTCAGAATGAGGAAGATTGCAAAAAGCGGCCAGCTAGCTGGCCACATGCCAGCTTGCTGGCAACTGAAACAACCCCAAAACGGCTAAGAGGCCAGCTAGTTGGCAAGAGTAAGACATAATATGAAACAAAATATGAAACAACAAACTGGCCAAACACCGTAAGGGTCTTTTGGCCAGTTTGTTGTCTATATTTTACATTTAATTTATTACAAGACATTGACTGGCCAGCTCACTTGCCAAAGGCCCTTTCTTTACATGCATGGCGACGGGTGATGCCCACAGTGAGTGTCAGTACACTGCTTCTTGGGCTCAATTTGATTTGCGTCAATTTCAATCGGAGCTCGAAGGGAGCATCGGCGAATGATCTTCCGCATGGCCTCTTCCAAGTCTATGCTTGAGAGCCACTTCTGAGTTGAGGCTGAAAAGAAGCGAAAATAGTTTGAAAAACGTCGGTCAAACAAAATCAAACCTCAGTCAGTGAACAGCAATAACATCCAAGCCGCGGAGTTGTTCCTCAAATAGTTGTACTTCGCCTTGAGAAGCTCCAGCGGCATCCTGTGCAAGAGGCGTTTTTGAACCATCATCGGGCATGGCGCTGGCTTCTCCTTGGCTCGCGTCCATTGTCCCATTTTGCTGGCTTGGATGGTTTTCGCAGTCACAGAAGGGGGCGGTGGTCGCATCAT